TCATGAATATGCTTGAGGAGATTAGAGTGTACCTGATGCAAATGTGAAAGTCTAATAGACAAAAGATTTTCAAATATGCTAATACCATTCTGCCAAATATCAAAAAAAAGTTGGAAAATGAATCACAAAGGACTAACAGTTGGATTGTGAGGTAATGCCTCATACATAAATTTCTAGGTAATACAAAGAAGTAGTATGCTTCCATAACTGATTTTTTGTATTTGTAACAGGCGTGCAGGTGAAGTAGACTATGAGGTTAGGCACATATCACTCATTGAAGAAAATTTGTTGTTAAACTGCCAAAGAATGAGTGTTCATGTAGAAGGTGGATGTTGACTGGGCTACCATGCTGTCATGCCCTTGCATGTATGAAGGATCGACATTTACAAGTAGATTATTTTGTTCCTGATTATTACAAAAAGGAGTGTTATGAAGCTTTCTATGCACCTGTGATTTATCTGGTCAACGGAGAATCATTTTGGACCAAAGCAGATGATGTTGACTTGCAACCACCTCCCATAAAAAGACAGTCTGGTAGACCCAAGAAGAAAAGGAACAAAGATGTTGGGGAACAAGTTAGAAATGATACACAACTCAAAAGGGCCAAATTTGGTATCAAGTGCAGCAGGTGCCATAAAGATGGTCACAACAAATCCACTTGCAAGCTGCCTACAACAACAAAAACACCAAATGTTGCTGCTATAACAACACCACCACCAACTGCTGCTGCTACAACAACACCAACACCAAATGCTGCTGCTACATCAACACCACCACCAACTGCTACTGCTACAACACCACCACCACCAACTGCTGCTACAACACCACCACCACCAACTGCTGCAGCTACATCAGTCCAACCACCAACACCAGTTACTGTTGTATCAAGCCTACCACCAACACCAGTTACTGCTACATCAAGCCCGCCAATACCAGATGAAGGTTCAACTCAACAAGTATCCAAAAAAAAAAATAGACTTCAAAAGGGTCTAAAACCTGTTCTGAGCCAACCATAAGCTTATGTTTACCTTTATGTGTACTAGTTATTCCACTTTTTGCCTATTATGTAGTTTAAGACTAAGGCTTATAATGTCACTTGTTGGACTTCAACTGCGGTAACATATGGCATAAAATGCATATACTCTAGTTATATCTAATGGCTTGCAATGCCACTTTTGTAATGACTTGTTATAATAATATTGCAACTAATGTTATGGTTTTGTGACTATTGTTATGGCCATTTTATACTTTACATTTGTTCTTTTAATTGTGGGAAACAAACAAAAGTAACATTTCACATATACAATTCATTGATAAATTTTGACAGAAACAAAAGTAACATTTCTCAAACAAAAGCAACTATATTTCATTGATATATTTTGACAAATAAATAACAATGTTGACAAAAAATTTCACAGATACAATTCAACCTCCTTATTCACAACTACATGTCATTACACAAAAACAACCAACCTAAAAAAATATTGTTACAAATATAACATTAAACAATAAGCTCAATATTTCAATGATTATAGACAATTTCAACCACCCCCTTGTGTTGATGATCTCATTCTTCAACATGTAAATTTTCTTCTTCTGCCTCTGGATCTTCAAATCCCTTTCATCGATAATGTCGTCGTCGAACCATTTGAAAAAATTACATCCCTTATTCACATGATTTCTGAAATTTCTACAATCCCAAAACTTTTTCAAAATTAACACTACTCATATCACCCACGGTACGAAGCACAAATTCATCTTGTCAAAAGCACTCCCTCATTTTGTTTCTTTGAACAACCGACCCAAATGTACCAATTGAAGAACTGCTTGACATTTTAGACTTTGGAGACGAAGAAGAAAGATAAACCCTAGGAACTGAGACAAAACGAAAAAAAACGAGATGCAGAGAACTGCAGATAACAAGATGAATAGAACACGATGAGGGAAGCTACAAGAAGAAGACAAAATGAAAAAACGAGATGAAGAGAAAAAGATGCAGGAAGCCACATTCGTTTTTTTTCTCTTCCGGAAACCATTACCATGAAGCAAACATTTTACCCTTTAAAAACTAAATTAATTATTCATTTGATGACTAGGCATACGGTTGGAACGCCACCGTGACTGTAACTAACGGTCCAACACATTAATGAACGAAATGAATCAAACATGTTAATAGAAGTAACATTACGGGACCAAATTGAATCGTTTTTTTATAATTAAGGGACTATATTGTAACTCATAAATAACTTGCAGGACTTGGGGACTAATTCTGCCTAAGTTTTTTTAACTTATTCCAAATCATAACCTTTGAATTAAATCTCATCTAATGGTTAAATTATCGTTTTACTTAATTAACTATTAAATTAGATTCAATTCAAAAGTTATGATTTAGAGTAAGTTAAAAAAAATTACGTTTGGAGTAATATATATATATATATATATATATATATATATATATATATATATATATATATATATATATATATATATATATATATATATATATATATATATATATATATATATATATATATATATATATATATATATATATATATATATATATATATATATATATATATATATATATATATATATATATATATTTTTTTTTTTTTTTTTCTTTCTTTCTAAAAGACTGTGATTGAAAATAAACTGACATTGGATTAAATTATGAATGAATTAAAAAGATGAGGGAAAATATTTAAATAAAGAAGATATTTAATATATAAGAGAGTAGTCATGAATTGTTAAATTATTAAAAAATCGAGAGAAAATGAAGTCACTAAAAAGATTTATAATTTCATAGAATTAAATGACTTGATAGAAGATGATTTTAATGTGAGAAGATATAATAAATTATAAAATTATTAAAAGGAGAAAAAGGTATGTAATATACATATTAAAAGAAAATTGAAAAAGGGATATTTTTATTAGAGTGAATACCTAGAGAAACCACAAAACTCAGCTTAATTTTCAAGAAAAAGAAAAAGAAGTAACTTTTAGTCCTTTAAAAAGTCACTTTCTATATATTTTATTTGACCGATAAAGAAAAGAAAAGAAAAACTAGATCAAAGAAAATAAAAAAAAATAACATTACTTTTATTAATTATAAAATGACATAAGTGCCTTTAAATAAAAGTTAGATAGTACGATAAAAAGTAACATAATACTAACATGGTCCTTAAAATAATATATATAAATAATTTTTTTAATAGAAATTTTGTATTGTTTTTATAAAATTAATTATTATACTGTCATAATAAAATGTTTTACATTATCGATTCATCAACATCATCCGTTTACCTTATTTTATAATTTTATTAAAATAAAAATCAAATTCTTTTAAATATTTAATAACTATGATTAACTGTAAAAAATAAATATAATTGTAGAAATCAATTAAAATATTATTAAATGAACCTAGTTAGATAGAGAGAAAAAAATTCATTCTTATCCTTTTATTTGTTTGCTATTATATTTTTAATGTTAATTAAAAAAAATCATTTTAGTTTTAAAATTCAATTTAGTTCATTTTTTTAAATCTCTAAAAATAAACTGAAACAACTCAATATCTACATCATGGTCTTAATTTTTACTTCCTCCGATATTTTTTATAAAAAATATTTCACTTTTTTAGTTTAAATAATTAATATATTTGACGTATAAACATGCCAAATACATTAAATATTTAATAAATCTAAAAAAAGTAAAATATTCATTATAGTATAACTATAATTAAAAATAAAGTATAATTTAAAATCTTTTCTCTCACTAAAAATTTTGGATTACCTCTTAACGTTAATTTTGCATTTATGATATGAAAATTAATAAAATTATATATCTTTTATTTATTTGGCACTAAATATAATATGATATAAATAAAATAATGAATAAATAATTTCAATTTAATTTTTTAAAAAAATAATAAATTAAATTTTATAATATTTTATAACAACAAAAAAATATTCACTCTAAATTACATTCTTTATTTAACCATAAGTAATATAAAATTTTATATTTCTTAGGTTATTCCCATGATTTTTTTAGTAAATCAATAAAAAGAGTAGAGTATTAAATAAAACACAAAGCTAAAATATAGAAAAACATTTCTTTCATTAAAAACCGAACATAGAAATCAACACTTCAATAAAAGTTCAAATCCTCCAATAATAAATTTTTAAGCTCATAAAAAATTACTCTCAGCAATACTAAGAACTTATTAATAAATATTACTAGTAATATTAACCATTATTTTAAATTATAAATATTTTTTTCTCTAACAGACAAGAATAATAAATACTCTTACTCTGAAAAAGCAAAAACAATAAATTCAAAGTCTTACAAACAAACAATTCATCTTTCCAACACAGAAACAACTGATGACGCCCATGTAAATGTCAAAACAGCCAACCAAACCCAAACCTCAAACCTTAAAACTACTTTGTTACAAGTGCTTTTCAGTTGCACCAATCACAACACGCCACGTCACTTTAACAACCAAACACATTGCTCCAGTTTTTTCCCACTATACTCATTTTCAGCAAACGCAAAGGAAAAAAAATTGACGGTCCAGATTTTCCGGTGGACGCAAACTTTTATGCAACGCATCTTACGAAGCCACGTGGTAAGTTTTATAGGATATAACTCTAGGAAGCTCAACACTATATTATTGGTTCTTCACTTTACTCTAAACTCATTCACAATTCACATAACACAAATCACTGTGTTACTATCAACGGCGGAGAACCACCGCCGGAAAATTCTCCGACGGTAGTTCCGATTTGGTGCTTCCAACTTGTTCAATTTGATGAGCTGATAGTAAGTTTAATCAATTAGTTCATATTTCTTATTCTAGGTTTTTATTTTCTTTTCTTTTTTATAATACTTAGATTTTTGATTTTGATCTTGATTGTAGATTTTGATTTGGTGAAGTGTAGTTGATCGAGGTTGAAGTTTTTGCTTTATCTAGTGACTGAAATCGTTGAAATCAAAGAGAAATGGTACGTTTCTAAGTTTAGAGAAATGTATTTGTTTCATGCAGATGAGGTGTTTGATGTATAATTTCATTGTTTGTTTTTGCTTGATGTATTTGTTTGTTCTTGTTAATTTAGCAGGGTGGGGAATATATAAATAGTTTCTATGAAATTTAATTGTGATGAGTTAATAAATTGTTTACTAATTGGGGTGAAGTTTAAAGTTATATCACTTTGGTAATGTGTTGAAAGCTTATGATCCTGTCTAGCAAACTGATTTTAAGTAAAATTTAGATAAAATAGTAGAGATCTAAAATAACAAAAAATATGTGAAAAACAAACTAAGAGAGATAGGGAGGTGAAAGTTAGTAGTGTTAGAACTTTTGCAAGTCTTAAACACCGAGGTGGATCGGCACAATAGATAAAGAGAAACCTCACAAGTGAATTTAGACACAATTTTTTGACTCAGAATCTTAAAGTATTAGATATATGGGTCCTTTCAGTTATAATTTTCACATACTTGACACGAAAACATTCTCATTTATGCATGAGACTCTCGACGTCCTTGATCTTACACCAGAAATGGACTCGGACTTTTTTTTTGATGAAAATTCCTTATTGTATTGTTTCTGTACCGTGCTGTTAATTGGAAGTTAGATTGTTTTCTTTCAATTTAGGAAAGTTGGCTGGAGATTCATGAAACTGATACTTCAATAAATGTGTTTCATTCTTGTTGTTAAATTCTTTCAATATCTTACTTTATGGTGGCTTTGTGATTTTTGTTTATTAGGTATATTGTTTTGTTTAACTAATTTATGGCTTATAAGTTATAACCTGGTTGAGTAATGTCTTATTTAATATGCATCGGCAGAATCTATACTCAAATAATTTATTTTTCCAGTCTTTTCAGAACAAAGGCTTCTGGATGTCCCGTGATGCTGGCTGCATAGCGGAAGAAAATGTTGGATATGAAAATTCTTCAAGAGCCGAACCAAAGAGAAGTCACCAGTGGTTTACGGATTCAGATGAACCAGAAGTATTTAGCAACAAGAAACAAGCAGTTGAAGCTAGTAGTGACATGCCGGTTTCAACAACCAATGTTTCTCACTGGGACACTGGTTCAGGATTTCACTCGGTTACAGGTCAATTTTCTGACCGTCTCTTTGGATCTGATCTTATACAGTCTGTCAATTTGGTTGATAAAAACATGTCGTCAACTGGAAGTGGAAATTTGAACATTGGAGGGAGGAAGAATTTTGGTAATAATGATACGTCTGTCGGACTGTCGGTATTGCCCACCATATTAGGCCCTTCACCATGTCTAAATTTTGGTGGTATTAGGAAAGTTAAAGTTAATCAAGTCAGAGATTCTGACAATGGCATGCCAGCTGATAACAATACATTTTCCATAGATTCTGGTTACGATAAGAATGACGGAAATATTACATCGGGCCCATCTTATAGCAACGGAAGTGACAACACCGTTGCTATAGGGATAAGCAAGCCTGATGATAATCTCCTTGCAATGGGTCACATCTTCGATAAAGGGGATGGGAGTTTTGTGTTGATGGGTCAAAATTATGGAAAGGGAGATGAAAGTATTTTATCAACGGGTCGGCCCCTTGAAAGAGGCGGCGGAAATTTCATAACAATGAATCAGTCATTTGGGAAGGAAGATGGAAATTTGATATCTTTGGGCCCCACATTTTCCAAGGAGCATGAGAGTTTTACATCAATGGGTGTAACCTCTGATAAATCAGGGGAAAATTTCACAACTGTTGCTCCTTCCTATGACAATGGCATCTCAGTAGGTCCGACATATGTTAATGTGGACTCAAACATTGCTTCGACTAGTCCATCGTTTGACAGCATCAACTCTAGCTTTTTACCTGCAAGTCAAAACCTCAGTAACAGAAGTACCGTATCTTTTGGAGGTTTTCATGCTGGCGGCTCGGAGCCAAATCCTTCGTGCGGAGTCATCAGTGGATTTGATCCTTTGATGGGCAACCAAAACTCAGCTCAAGGTGCGGATAGCCAGAGGGATCTGATTGAATCAAACCCTGATCCACTTGTAAACAACACTTCAAAATCTAATGCAAAAAATGATACCTTTGTTAAGAACAAAGAACCTAAGATAGCCAAGAAGAAGGCTTCTAACAACTTCCCTTCAAATGTCAAAAGTCTGCTGTCAACTGGTATTTTTGACGGCATTTCGGTGAAATATTGTACATGGTCAAGGGAGGTAAAACATGTTCTAATTTTATTTCGTCTTACTTTTGAGCTACTGTAGTTGTTTGTTTCTACTAAGATTTTAAACTTTTGATGTTTTTTCGGCAGAGAAATCTTCAAGGAATCATAAAAGGAACGGGGTACATGTGTTCATGTGACGACTGTAAGGGGCAAAAGGTAAGCATCTTAAATCGCGCTTATTACATTCTTAATAGTACGCGTAATCATAGCCATAATACTCATGTATTCAATTATGTCATGAAGGCTCTTAATGCTTATGAATTCGAGCGTCACGCCGGAGCCAAGTCAAAACACCCTAACAATCACATATACTTTGAGAATGGAAAATCTATCTATGCTGTTGTTCAAGAGCTGAAAAACAGTCCTCAAGAGACACTCTTTGACGCAATTCAAACCGTGACAGGTTCCACCATCAACCAAAAGAATTTCCGTATTTGGAAAGGTATGTCCAAACACTACCTTCACCCTTGCCTCAATCGACAACAGCGCATGCCTTGCTATTAACATTTTTTTTTCCATCTTTTCAGCATCATACCAAGCTGCGACTCGTGAGCTTCAGCGCATCTATGGAAAGGACGACGCCGTCATACCATCTTAAGTTTGGAAGAGTGGTAGATATGTAACTTCTCTGGTATATGAGTATATGAATGGCCAGTTATAAGTTGAGTTAATAATTGAAAGTTTTTAATTGGTTTTACTTGTAAGAACTTATATTATATTTATGGAAATAAAGATGTATATTTAGTCGTCCTTTGTGGTGAATATCAATTCAATATTAGTCTGGCATTGTATAGTTTTGCTGGTAGTAACTCTACCATTCATTAATGGTGTGAAAAGATACTAAGCTTGTGTTTGGATTAGATGATACTGAGTGAGTTTTGTTCTTTTGCAACATACTTAGGAATTCTTACTTAAGAATAACTAAAATTATGAAAGGACAAACAAAAATAAAATAAAAAAGTGCAAATTGCTTATTAAAATAAATTTTCATTTATTGAGAATTGAATATTTAGAAACAAAATTGCAAGATAAGAAATGAAATAAAATGAATAAACTAAAAGGCCACTGTTAAAACAAAAGCTTAGATATATTTATACTTTAACCTATAAAATATGTAATTAAATATTTCTTTAAAGTTTAATAGACTAATACTCGGAATTTAAAATGCTTTATAAATTTGCAACTTAGCTTGCCTTGAAATATAGTAGTAGCAAACAAATATAAAATATCAATGTATAAATATTTCTTAGTGATCTATGAGTCTTAAAAACCTGTTTTATGCTGGTATATTTTCAAGGACTAATTCACCTAAAACATTTTCTATCTAAAAAAAATATAAGAATGACCAAAATGATATGTTTGCGTATATATTATTTTTTGACCTAACATTTGTTGATATATTTAATTTTGGGGATTTCTTATTCTGGAATAAAAAATATTTTATGAAAAATTGAAATACTCTTCAAATTTCGAAGATGTATTTTTTTATATACCATGTGTTAAGTTAAAATGTTATAACTTGATTTGTAGATGCATCTCTAAAATATTTTAAAACACATATCATGAATCTCTAAGGTCAATTTTAAACACTTATTGATCTGAAGATGCATCTTTGTTTAGGATTTACGGAGATATATTTCTGCAACTTATCAAAACAATGCAAGTTAAGTTAGTTTTATGGTTACTCAAATGAAAATGACGATTTATAAATGTTAAGGCTTCTGTTATGTGATGAGTATTAAACCATACAACGGATATGCAAAAAATATCATATATAAATTCGGAGTGAAAATAAGTCATCATGACATACAAAATAAAGTCCAAACTATAAATACTATTAAGTACTGTGTATGCCAGACTTAATCTTATCAGACTCCTCTCCCTCCGTCCTCTGGCGCTTGTTGCACCCTAAAATTTGACCAACTGGGTCCCGTATCTGGCTCGATGTTTCGACGCATAATCGCATTCGCATCTGCATATTGCATACATTGCATTTTTCATTTTATCAGGGATCACAGCTCTCGTCTCGTATTTCAGGTGTTTTTAATCAGTTTTAATAGATAGAATCGATTTTTGGGATATTTCGGTGCCCGTTTATTTTTACCGATTATTTTAGTGCGCTCTCGCGTTGTTATGTGTCGTTCGGGAATTATGGTGATTTTTCTGGATTTTATTGGCATTTTTTAGGGTTTAAATAGCTTTTAAATTTTTTTTTAGGTTTAATAGGATTTTTAAATAGATTTTTAATCATTTTAGATATTTTTAAATAGCATTTTCTCTTTTTAGAATTTAAATAGGATAATATAGATTTTCTTTTAAATAATATAGAGTAATATAGTTTTAGAATATTAATAGAATTTAATAGCTTTTTTTTAGAATATTAATAGGGTATTAATGATTTTTTAAATAGTTAATAGTTTTTTAATCTTTTAATATAGATTTTTCCTTATTAAATAAATAGTTTTTTTCTTAGTAAATAGAATTTAATAAATAATATAGATTTTCTAGGTTTTATTAGGGATTAGATTAGTTTTCAGATTTATTAGATTAAGATTAATTGAGTTTAGTTAATTAGGTTTTTTTAATTCAGTTTTTCTGAGTTTTTTTGATGTTTGTTCGTTGGGCCCATATCATCAATGCAAAGCCCATTTTCGGAATTCAGCATAGTCCAGAATCATCCACCAGCTTCCACCATTTTCCAGCGCATCCCAGCACCTTCTAGAAGCTGCCAGAATTTTCTCAGCTTATATAACCAGCTCGCCACGTGTGGCGCAAAGGGATGGCCCACCTTTCCTCTCCACCAGACGCCACCTCACTCCTCAGACGCTCTCTTCACCTGCCACGCATGGGGACGCGCGTCCCGCATGCAGCCTTCCTCTCCACCAACTCCCCCACGCGTCATCACCAATGACCCTCGCCTGAAAACTTCGCCGGCCGGCCTGCATGGCCGGCGGCCACCGCAGATCACCAGAAACCCACAAACACCCAGATTCCGGCCAGCCTGCAATCTTCATCTCCCTTCTCCTCCTATCTTCTCCAGTTTCCGACCACCACCACCATGAACATTGCCGGAAACATCAAAATCCTTCCTCCGATCATCATTATTCACCTTCCTCATCCAACTTCCTCGCCGTGAATCTCCCCAGAAGCGCCCTAAAGCCCAGATCCAACCGTTCAAACTTCAAGATTCAACGCTCAACCAATTTCCAGATTCATCATCACCGGAAATTCCAGAAAGCGCCTCCGATCTTCATCCCCAGAAGAGCAACAAGAACATCACGCTCCAGATCTCCAGATCTTCAACCACCGTTCATCTTCTCCAACGAACTTCAACAACCTTTCATCAACATCCATCGTGAATCCCTCGATCTTCAAACAGATCCTCCGAACGCCTTCATCAGGTACTCAAGGTGTTCGTTCTAGAACTTCAACAACGTCTTCGTCCAACATCTCCAGAAATTCATCCCCAAGTTATCACGAACTTCATCGTCTTCAAGAAATCATCAACGAACATCCATGATCGCCTCCAGTCTTCATCAACAATAACCGTTCCCCAGATTCGGAGCTCCGCCACGCATCAAGAACTTGCAATCACGCTCAAACATTCACCAACACTTCAAATCTCCAGAAGGCTTCATTTGAGCACCTTGTTCTTCATCCTACATGCTCAGATCTCCAGATTTACTTGAGTTGTTCTTCGAAGTTTGGGGGAGGATTTGGAAACAAAAAAACGAGGAGGAAACAGGTTGGATCAGTATATCAATTTTTGTGGTGATACTATGAACGAAGAGAAGTCAGAAAGGTTGTGACGGCGGCGGCGCTGATGAGGAAGGAGAGAAGAAGATTAGGGTTTGGTCGTTCAGAGAGGGAGGAGAAGGTTGGGATTGGGCCAGGCCCAATAGCGTTTTTGAGAGACACTACCCTCCGTTTTTGGCTGAAAGGAGTGGGCCTGAGCCCAATGCCTTGGATTTACACTCCCATTTCACTACACGTACCCCTCCCACGTTTTTGGCAGCAAAGCAAGCTGGGCTGGGCCCAGTTTGCTGTATTCTTTTTTATTTTTCTGTTAAACCCCTTGTAGCAGTTCCCCCCCCCCCCCCCCCCCCTTTTTCTTGTATTTTACTTTTTTATTATGTCTTTTGTTTAGAATTTCTTAAAGAAAAATATTATGAAAAAAAGGAAATAGAAAAAATATGAAAAAGAAAAGAAAATATTCAAGGAAAAAATATATGGAAATATATCGAAAAAAAGGAAATAGAAAAATATATTGAAAAACATGTGAGAAAATGATTGGAAAAAGAGAAAAATATTAAAGTGTCGATTTAATATTTTCAAGTACATTTTCTTTTAGGATATACTTCCATAGAGTTTATTTTCCGATTTTAGGATAGTTTTAGAAGCCCATTTGTTAGGGGGCTATTTTCATTCAATTTTTTAGGATAGAATAGGATAGCGTTTCCTAGGAGATTTATTTTCCAATATGCATTCATTGTAATCATTTTTCAGAGATTAATAAAACGAGATTTGAGCTGTGGTCCCGATAGTAGCCGAACTACAGCTGCTCTGATTCTTCGTACCAGACGAAGATATGTAGGCATAGGATGCGATATCCTAGCGAGCACACTAACGACTAACTTTTGTTCTCTCGCGGCTGTGCGATCGAGACTTTCCCGTTGACGACTAATTGATACCCTTTTTCTCTCTTGCTCGAGGGCATTTGAGACCAAGCCGTAGTTTTGCCCATAGGTTCCCGACCCTGTGCAACCAAGTTGTTTTTCTCACTGCTGTGTGAGAATGTTTGTTTAGCCGTAGTTAGTCTGAACTACGTAAAGCTCTGATCTTCCATGCAGTGGAAGTACGTAGGCACAAGACGCGAGGTCTTGGCGAGCCAATCTTTCCCGTAGTCCCGAACTACGTTGACTCTGACTTTCTCTCTTGAGAATACGTAGGCATAGAGTGCGACGCTCTATCGAGTCAATTCCCTTCCGTTTAGATTTAGCAGTCGTAGATAGATTGTTTTGCACCCAGTAGACAACCCAAGCAAGCGTGGATCCCGTCGAGTACGACGGACGTGAGGGGTGCTAATACCTTCCCCTTGCGTAACCGACTCCCGAACCCAGGCTATGGTTGCGACGACCATACCTTTTCCCCGTTTTTTGCGAGGTTTACTTCGAGCGTTTCCTTTCCCGCTCTGAGGGATAAATAACGCACGGTGGCGACTCTTCTGTCAGCCGGCGCCGATTTTCGCAGTAGCGACAGCTGGCGACTCTGCTGGGGACCTGAAAGTTTCCTAGGGATCCAACGTCCCGAAAGCGAGTCAATTTTGTGGGATCCAACGTCCCCTAAGAGAGAGTCAATCCTAGCGCTCGTTTGCTTGTCTATTGGGGCTTATTTATCAATATTATCTGTTGCTGTTGGGGTGTTACGGATGTTCTATGATGAGAGATAAGCCGGACCTGGGCTTGGAGTGCACCTTAGACTTAGAGTGGAAATTAGTGGGCGCGTGCTTGCTTTGTAGGCACTAGTGTCTCATGAAATCCACGCTCAGACGAGGTTCATCCGGTTGGCTTCACTTTCAACCCTTTGGGTTAAGACGGT